TTCACTAATGCTCCCTGGTACCCTGAAGCAGGAATAGGGTGGGACACTCAGGATTCTGACCCAATTGGGTACAAACCTCTTCTGCTTCCTAGGAGAGATCTTCTGACTGGGAAGTGAGTCTGGATCTTTTAAAAAAACAAATAAACAAACAAAAACTTAGCACTTTGGCCTTGTAAGACAGGCGCTCTGCCATACCTCCAGCCCTTTTGCTCTGGTTATTTTGGAGATAGGGTCGTACTTTTTGCCCAGGCTGGCCTGGAACCTTGATCTTTCTGATCTCGGCCTCCCACATAGCTTTGGATGTCAGGTAACACCACTGTATCCAGTTATTCATTGAAATAGGGTTTTGTGAACTCCCTGCCCGAGCTGGTCTTGAGCCATGATCCTCCTGATCTTAGCCTGTCAAGTAGCTAAATTGCAAGTGTGAGCCTCTGGTACTCAGCTGGTTTGAGTTTCTCTTTATTTTTTGGCATTACTGAGGTTTGAACTCAGGGCTTCACACTTGGGAAATAGGCACTGTACTGCTTGAGCTGTGCTTCTGGCCCTAGTCTGGATTTCTCAAGGCCCTTCATCTCTAAAATGTACACTGCTGAGAGGTACCTTCACAAGGTACTCTGAAGCTGGAGCAGAGTATGATCAAGCTGAGTTTAGAAGGGTACTTACCGGCTAATTTCTTATCTTCCTCAAGCCTCTCTAGGGAATACACTAGATCTCCTCCATTGAACTGGGCAGGGCTAAGGGGAGTCCTATCCATGCCTCCTTCCCCACTAACAGAAGTGTTGACATCCTGACTAAAGGAACCATGTAGCTGAAAGCTTATTTTTTAAATCCAGAGAATGGGACTGACTGGAAAGGGGCAACTTTAGAGGCTTCCCACAGAGGTATTTCTGATTTGTCCCTAGCTGAACCAGAAGAATATGACACTGAGCAATCGGTGCCAGGTGTTTGATCGTTTCCAGGACACCATTTCACAGCATGTCGTCAAAGTGGACTTCCTGAACCGAATCCATAAGAAGCACCCTCCTAACCGCCGTGTGCTCCAGTCAGTCAAAAGAAGAAGCTTGAAGGTGAGTCACAACCCAGTGCAGGCAGGATGGGTGCACTCTGCCTTCATGGGGTAGACAGAGGATCGTTGTCCCATTTTTTTCAGGAAGCGAGACTGAAACTACAGAGATTTGTCTTTGGTGCCTCAGTAATGAATGTGTCTTTATGTATTTATACTTGAGAATGGTAGTCAGGATTATGGGGGCCAAGCCCCAGGTGTGCTTTTAAGTCTGTAGGTCTCTAGTTCTCCAAGGATAAGCACTCTAAGCCCATCCCACCAAACCCAGTTGTGTTCCTGTTGCCACTAATCTGATACTCATCCTGTCTGTCCCTGTTACATGGCCCCTGTCTGAGAGCAGGTGATAAGCAGATTCAACCATATGAGAAATGAGGCACTGTTCTCAACTGAGGAACTTAAGAGGACAATGTCTGAAGCAGAATCAATCTATATTTCCAAGCTTTGATTAATATATCACCAAAGCTTTATATTGTAGCACTGCTATAATACCTAACATTTCTTTGTACTTAACAGTTGCTAAACTGTGTCCACAGAGATTGAAAGAAAATTTCCCTTTGTGGAAAAGCATTTGCTGTTTCTCATAAAGCATTCAATCTCTTCATTCAGTTAATCTAGAGGACCTAACACTACATGCCCATACATAAACATTATCTTTCTGTTTGGAAATAAACCCACAGTCCTCCTTGCCAATGGAAACCAGCAATTCTCAAAAATAGCCACTTGGTGGCAGCCACACTTTAGACTCAATCACACTACTCTCATCACCTCCAGTGGGTGTCAGAGCTAACAAGATGCTAACTGTTGGAAACTGTATAACAAACTCTTGACTGGATAAATATTTATACTTCAATAGAAGCACAGTTTTCTAAAATTAAATTAAAGTGTTTCCTGTTGGGAGAAAGGGATATTGGAGGTGGCATGCCTCATACCTCAGTTAAGTGGCTTTAAAAGTAATCCAGACTGTGTAGTTCTCTGTGTAAGTTTGGAATAGAATCTGACTGATGAATTGAACAGGCAAGAAGGCCTTGGTTAAATTGCATCATTATATTGTTTTCTTTACTCCTTTTAAAAATGTTTCCCTATAGTTGAAGACAATGAAGGTTATTAGTTATCTGAAAAGCATTTTATTTTTGGATAGTTTGAGAGTGAAATGGGGATTATAGTACCGTAAGGTATGCAGACCAAATCTGCTGGGACCTTTATATGTGTGTTGGGGGCTTCCTCCCTACTCACCTTTTCACTCTTCCCCAGGAGGCTGGTTATCTCAGAAAGCCCATGGTACCAGGTGATAACTCCCAACTCCACCCACGTTCCTTCCCTTTTTCCTCATACCCAGATGCATTATCTGCCTGCAAATCCCCGACACCTAAGTGTCAGTTTGCCCAAGACTAAATGTCTTCTGACTGTCCAAAACCACTCTACCCCCATATTTCCTATTTCAATGAATTGCAGTGACCTCTGCCCGGTTCCTCCAGCCAAAATTCTTGGAACACTTTCATCTTCTCTTCCCTTCCCCCATAAAGTATGGTGACCAGATCTGTTGGTTTGCCAGATATTTTCCAAATCCACCATATCTTTCACATCTCTTCATCTATCTGCCTGGAGTTCCTTCTCAACTTTGAAGTTGCAGTTTGAATACTGACTTCCTATAAAGTCTCCCTAATCACAAACTTCCATCCCCAAAGTAAAATAAGCACACTCTTGCACTTTTTTTTGGCAGTACTGGCATTTGATCAGGGCCTAACGCTTACTAGGAAGGCACTCTACAACTTGAGCCACTCCGACAGCCCTTTTTTGTGTTGGGTATTTTTGAGATAGGGTCTTTCTAACTATTTCCTGGAGTTAGCTTCGAACCTCAATTCTCCTGATCTCTGCCTCCCAAGTAGCTAGGACCATAGGTGTGAGCCACTGGCCTCCAGCTCCTGCACTTTTTTTTTTTTTTAAATAGCATCCTAAACATGCCTCTATTCTAGGATTGCATTGTAATATAGTATTTCTGGTTTTCTCCCCACTAGACTGTGAGCTCTTTGAGGGCAAGGCTTAAGTTTTATTTGTCTCTGCACCTCTAGGACTTGGAACAGTTCCAGACTCAGGAGGTGCTCAATAAATGTTGGTCGAATGTATGAATGACTCTGCTTGTGTGGCTCTTTCATTCTTACATGGTGTGAGTCAGAATATGTCTTCTGTCTTTATATAACAAAGCGGTCTTTAATTGTTTCATGAGTCACGAATGGATGGATGACAAGAACTAATGGATTGAGTGTTTATATTAGGCCTCAAACTGAGCATTTCCACCATGAATGTGACCTCATTTAACTATCTTTCAGTTACTGCTCACCCACCTCCCAAACTTGACACTGCAATAAGAATCTAGAGTATCACTCTGAAGCCCTGTCCATTGTCAGTCTTACATGTTTAAGGACAGAGTAGAAGACAGCATATAGTAGTTTCTGAGTTCTGCAGGCCTTGGACCTTAATGAAGAAAGATGAAGGCCATACCTACCGATTCTATTTCTATGCGATTCCATTTTCTATGCTAGTGTGCTATATCAGAGTCAAAGGGTTTACAAGCAGTTGCAGCACACTGAGCCTCTTTGTCCTCAGTAGACCCCAGAGTAAAAGTCTATAGAGCACCAGCACCACAGACAGAATGTTGTGCAGGGCAGAATCAACTGTACCTGTTGGCACTATCTCCCTTTCCTTCCTCCTTCTGTCTTGAACAGGTTCCTGATGCTATAAAATCTCAGTACCAGTTTCCGCCCCCTCTAATTGCACCTGCGGCCATTCGGGATGGGGAGCTGATCTGCAACGGGATCCCTGAGGAATCACAGGCGCACCTTTTGAACTCTGAGCACTTAGCCACCCAGGCAGAGCAACAAGAGGTGAGTGACGGCAGAGCTGGGATTCCAAATCCAATCTTCTGTCTCACTAGAGCTATTATTGGAAGCATCCTCAGTGTCTATCATTCCCATTTCTACCCCACCCCCACCCAAACCCCCCAAGAGTTGAGTATTTCATCGAGAACCTCTGGCTCAAATCCCAAAGACAAGTAAGAGAGCAACTGGGCTGCTCCTCTCCATTGGTGCCCTGGTGCTGCAAGCTAGACAAATCTGTATTGTAGGAAGAGATAAGTAGACTTGGCCAGGCATGTGGCACAGCATTTAAGGCTAACCTGGGCTACATAGTAAGATCCTGTCTCAGAGAGGGACAAAGAGCAAGAGCAAAGATATAAACAAGAAGCAAGGGAGAGCCATAGAGAATGCATGAAATGAGTAGACCTATAGAAAGGTTAGGTGATAGTGTTTGGATACACAGAAGGTACTCAGGTACTTTCCGAATATTGGTCACAAGGTGAGCCTTAGGGGCAGAGCCAAAACAGGAATCCCAAGCTCTGCTGACTGGGTGTTGCCTGCCGAGTGTACCAGCAAGTATTGCTTGGGAATGGAAATGGAATCCTATCAAGAGTCAAGCCCACCCTTTCTGGTCTTTCGCACTGGGACCTTGGAAACAGTGTTTATCATCACTGCTATAGCCCTGGCCGTGGTGGCTGGATGGACCAGCGTCTCCTCTCACCCTTCTCTTCTCTCCTTTCCTTCCATTGCAGTGGCTCTGTAGTGTTGTTGCGCTCCAGTGCAGCATATTGAAACATTTATCTGCTAAGCAGATGCCTTCGCATTGGGACTCTGAACAGACAGAGAAGGCTGATATTAAGCCTGTTATTGTGACTGACAGCTCAATCACCACCTCCCTGCAAACTGCTGACAAGGCACCTACACCTTCCCACTACCCCTTGTCCTGCCCCTCAGGGATTAGCACCCAGAATTCCCTGAGCTGCTCTCCACCTCACCAGCCCCCAGCCATAGAGGACATCAGCTGCAGTTCTTGTGCAGAAAAATCCAAGAGAGCTCCTTGTGGGACTGCCAATGGGCCAGTGAACACAGAGGTGAAAGCCAATGGCCCACACCTATACAGCAGCCCCACTGATTCCACGGACCCCCGGCGACTTCCAGGCGCCAATACCCCCCTACCAGGCCTTTCACACCGGCAAGGCTGGCCCCGGCCCCTCACGCCACCAGCCGCTGGGGGCCTTCAGAACCACACCGTTGGCATCATTGTGAAGACGGAGAATGCCACTGGTCCCAGCTCTTGCCCCCAAAGGAGTTTGGTTCCTGTCCCAAGCCTGACCCCTTCCATTCCCAGCTCTTGTGCCAGCATTGAGAACACCAGCACTTTGCAAAGAAAGACTGTCCAATCACAGATAGGACCTCCGTTGACAGATTCAAGGCCTCTGGGTTCACCCCCAAATGCCACCCGGGTGCTCACTCCCCCCCAAGCAGCAGGAGATAGTATCTTGGCCACAGGAGCCAACCAACGATTCTGCTCACCAGCGCCATCATCAGGTGAGTGCTTCTCAGCCTTGGGTAATTAGGAATAATTTTATGCTCTTCCTGGCACATAAAGACTTAAGATTTCAGAACACATTCTGAGGACTTTGACCTCTGTTTTGTTTGTCCTCCTGTATTTCTGTAATAGAAGAAGGATGTGTTATCTTGTTCCCATGTTATAAATTGGATTGCTAGAGCTCTGAAAGCTTAAGTGATTTCCTTAAGGTGACCTACCAAGTCAGTGGCAAGAGTGGAACTACAGCCTGCATCTCCTAACTCCTTCTCTCACCCTGCAGGCCTAGTCTTCTGTCTGTCTTGTTTCATCACTTTAGAAGAAAGCAGCATGCTCTCTGGAACCACTGGGGTCAGCCTGAGGTTTTGGGTAATGGCCTCAGTATTTTATGATCCACATGAGACTAAAGCCACGCATCATGCAGATTCTCAGAGTCAGCCATTTGAGGAACTTCCTTGTCAGAGAAGCAGGGACAGAAAGCTGCACTACTTTTCAGAATAGCTGCAGATTGGGATGTCCTCAGAGGTTGTCTGGCCTAGAAGCTTGCCCTTGGGCCATATGCCTAAGGTCAGTCCTTTAAGTCTATTCTTGGCCCACTGTGGAGCTATTCTCTCAGCTGTCCCCAGTCAGTACTCAGGACCTTAAGGTTGCTGACCCCAGCATCTGAACCAGGTTTCAGATGGTGTTGGAAACTCCCCTCTGTTCTCTCCCATCTGAAGTGAAATTGATCTTCTAGTCAGCTGGGAGTCTCGGTAACCAGGTGACTGTAATTTCTCTGCATGGTGCCAGGATGGCCCTATTCTCAGACTGTTTTCCTGTCTGTGTCTCTGTTTCATACCAGCATGGATACATGTTACACACTGTGAGTCATTTTTCAGCAGGCAGGAATTACAGGGGCAGGCGCCACTTCTATAAGAATACAGACAGCAGGAAAGTGGTCATGGTCCAAAGGATGAAGCTACCCCAGTAGACTGCAGTGGTTCCCAGTGCTCTGGAAACTTTTGTGTGCCCAGTTATATTGTTCCATCTGCCCTTCTCACCACACGTTTTTAGCTCTAGGAGTTCCAGAGCCTATGGGTTGAGAATCAAGAAGGGAACATCACCTTGGGTCCGAAATCCAGACCTGTCTCAGCAGTGGGGGATTGGACCGGTGGGTTTCCCTCAGGCGACGTAAGTAACAGTCTTCCTGCTCCGTCCCCAGATGGCAAGGTCAGCCCCGGCACGTTATCCATAGGAAGCGCTTTAACCGTACCCTCTTTCCCAGCCAACTCTACTGCCATGGTGGACCTCACCAACTCACTTCGAGCATTTATGGATGTCAATGGAGGTGAGTGAGTGAGCTGCTATGGTAAAGGTGCTGTCCCTGGGCAACATTCAGCTCATTTGAAAGGGAAAGAATAGGGCTGAAGGATATGGCTCAAGTGGCAAAGCATCTGTTTAACAAGCATAAGGCCCTGAGTTCAAACTCCAAGTACACCAAATAAAAAGGAAGGAAAAAAAAAATCAGAACAGATATCTGATCTCAGAGGACTAAGGAGATGGGGATAAGGAGTATCCACTTGAGCAGAGGAGTGGGATAAGACAAAAGGCTCTATCTCTTGTTTCTGCCTTCTACATTTGCACATACACATAATCAAAAATGAAAGGAGAACACAGTTAAGGTGAACCAATGAGAAAAAACAGAATTACTATAGGCAGATCACCTGAACTTGCAGAACAAAAGCAGGAGCCTACTCTCAGAGGAGGGCCTCATCTGGGAAACTCCAAAGTCAAGGAGAACAGGAACAGATCTTGATGTCTGCGCAGATGGTGGGTAGAAAATTAAGTCTTTGGTGGGGAGGGCACAGGTGGGTGAGGGGGAGAGATGGTAGGGACAAACCTAACCAATGTACAATGTAAGTATATTCCAAAATGTCACAATGAATCCCCCCCTGTATAACTAACATATGATAATAAAAATGCTTTGGGTAAATAAATAAAATGTGGGATAAATATTTTTTTAAAAAAGCAAAGAAAAAGAAAATTCAAGCCTTTATCAGATACTCTCCCATAAACAGGCAAGTGAATTATTTCGCTCTGTCCTATGGGAGGCCTCTGCACAGGCTACACTAGGTTCCTCTCTAACTGCAAATGGCAGGTGAAATGCCCAGCTCCAGATCTTTGTACCTCTCAACTTTTTGAACAAAAATGACTTTGACTGAACTATTTTGTCTTGTAACATCCACATTCCAGTTTCATCTCAGCCTTTTAATCTCTTTCTCTTTGGTTGATAGAAATTGAGATAAACATGCTGGACGAAAAGCTGATCAAATCTTTGTACCTCTCTATACTTTTTGAACAAAAATGACTTTGACTGGACTATTTTGTCTTGTAACGTCCACATTCCAGTTTCATCTCAGCCTTTTAATCTCTTTCTCTTTGGTTGATAGAAATCGAGATAAATATGCTGGACGAGAAGCTGATCAAGTTTCTGGCCTTGCAGAGAATACATCAGCTTTTCCCCTCCCGGGTCCAAACTTCACTGGGCAGTGTTGGGACACATCCACCGGCTTCCGGAGGGCACCACACAGAAGGTACGCATACATATACCTGCCACCACACCATCAGATCTTCTGATGTGTGAATGATCGCCTTGCCTCTATGGAGAATCTCAGCTTTCAGTAGCTCAAACTTCCTTGTGTGCCTTTGATGGGCTTAAGAAAGCACCATGTTTTGTTTTTTTTTCAGCAGGAACGAAATGACAACCACAGTTTTCTGATCAGACTTGGGAAAGTCTGCCATAACTTTCTTTCATACAAGTTCACTTTGAGACACAGCAAAGCAGCTACTGGTGCTTTGGGGTGTATGTGGTGTGCTTTCTGCTCAATTGCTTTCTAATATTTGAATTAGGGTTTCTCAAGAGAGAACCTTTGAGTTCAAGGTGAGAAATAGGATAACAGTGGATAAGCCTCCTGTTTATTCTCAAGTGTCAGTTCTGCTTGGTTTTCTCTGAATATTAGCCCTTAAGAGCCTTGCTGCTTCAAACAAAGTGGTACCCAGACCAGAAGCATCACTGTTCCCTGAGAGGTTATTAGAAATACAAATTCTAATCCAGGCGCCAGTGGCTCACACCTTTAATCCTTAGCTACTCAGGAGGCAGAGATTTGGAAGGTTGTGGTTGGAAGCCAGCCTGGGCAAATAGTTCTGGAAGACCCTATCTCAAAAAACCTATCACAAAAAAGGGCTGGTGGAGTGGCTTAAGGTGTAAGCCCTGAGTTCAAGCCCCAGTACTGTCAAAAAAAAAAAAAAAAAAAAGAAATACAAATTCTAGGTCCCCACCACAACTGAATCAGAATTTGCCTCTTTTGTTTTTTTTTGGGGGGGGCGGGGGTTGTTTTTTGGTTTTGCTAGGGATTGAATCCAGGTCCTTGCTTGTGCTAGGAATGCACTCTCACACTGAACTGAATCTACATTTTAGTGAGGTCCATAGGTGATTTGTAAGTACATTAAATCTTGGGAAACTCTACCTTCTGTTTTTCCATGTTCTCCCTTTAGTATCAGCTGGAATGTCTTTGGTAAACTAGTCAGTAACCCAGGAACTTAAAGTACTAATATTCTTGAATTATGTAACCATCTTCAAAAGGAGGTCCTCCTCCCCTATCTGTGTTGGAATGCTGTGGGTGGGGAGAGAAGGCCTCATGCTGAAGCAGCTCAATGTCAGATGTGAGTTGGCAAACATGAGTCATACAGTGGGATTTTCTCCAGACCACAAACCAATGGTCCAGGTTTTATTGATTTGTATTTGGGTCACTGGTTCTGAGTTTCTGAATGATCCTATTGTGTTTGTCTTATAGTGCAAAGGAAGGAGGTACAGGCCCGAGCTGTGTTCTACCCCCTCTTAGGGTTGGGAGGAGCTGTGAACATGTGCTATCGAACCCTCTACATCGGGACAGGTGAGCCAGCCAGGAAACTGGGAGACACTGAATCTGTTCAGCCCTAAAGATCAACACTCTTACTCACAGAAGCTAGAGAAGGGTGAAGGAAGCCCTTTCCACGGTTGATGAGTTTAACCCAATGGATTTCTGGACAAGAAAGACTAAGAAATAGTACAATCAGGTGCTTCCCTGTCATAGGCCTTTCGCTGTCTGTGCCTAATATGTCATTATCATAGATGAAGTTGACTCTGACCTCTGCTGGGGAGGCAACTGAAACACTGAGAGGAAAGACCCAAGGAGAGGTCCACTGGACATCTTTGAAAATATTTTTTCTTCTTTTTTTTGGTGGGACTGGGATTTGAACTCAAGGCTTCACACTTGCAAAGAAGGTGCTCTACTGCTTGAGTCATACATCCAGTCCGTTTTGCTCCGGATATTTTAGAGATGGAGTCTTGCGAACTGTTTGCCCATGCTGTCCTCAAACAGCAGTCCTCCTGATCTCTGCCTCCTAAGTAGCTAGAATTATAAGGTGTAAGCCACCCATACCCAGCAATGGATGTCTTTGAAAAGTGATGAGCTCAAACATACCCAGCCTTCAGCTAGCCCTATATCTGGTACACAGGGCAGACAGATTAGCCATTAGCCTAGAAATTTCCCTTTTAGGTGACATGGCATACAGGCCCTATATCCTCATGTGTACTCATGGAAGTATGCCATCCTCTTCAGTAACTCAACTGTTCCCTCTGGATAGCAGCCACATGTTCTAAAGTAGATCAGCTGACAAGGACAACTAACTGTTAGCAGGGGGTTGGAAAAGACACAGTATTTGTTCAAAAATACAAGGAGAGAGTCCTGGGCTAAGTATCCCTGAGGTCTCTATTAGCACCTACCCAGAAGCTAACTCCCTCCTCCCTCATACATACACCTTACAGCCTATTTTCTGCCTTCCTTTTCCTCTACTCCTGCCACCCTGCAGGAGCTGACATGGATGTGTGCCTTACAAACTATGGTCACTGTAACTACGTGTCGGGGAAACATGCCTGCATATTCTATGATGAGGTGAGAGGTGAAGATGAGATGGGAGGGAGCTTCCCCAACTGGAGACCTCTCCCTGGCTTTGAGTCTTTATTCTCTGCCCTGGTGGGGAGGAGGGGAAGAGTCTGGGGTTGTCTCCTTTTCTTTCCTCCCTGTCATTCCTGGAGTCTCAGTATGAAGTGTGAAAGGACATTCTGCCATGGCTACATGGCTAACTGCCTCCAGAAGCAGGTCTCCCTTTTCTACTGAGGTTGCTCACAGGCTCAGTAGAGGAAACTCACCCTCAAGTGGGGCCCCAGGGAAGAGAGACCAACATAGAAGGAAACCAACCCCTGTTGATGTATCCCTGTGAGTTTAATCAATGTCATGTGCCATCCTATCAATGGGGGCCAGTGCTAAAGAGACAGGAAAGGACCAGGGTGTAGGCAGGCTGTCCCAAGGAGATGAGCCTTGAGTCCATTCTGAAAGAATGGGGTCATGACTGGGGAAGAATATGAGAGCTCCCAAGGTAGAACAGCACAGCTGCCTCCTTACATCCTTTCTCCTGTTGGCTTGTTACATCCTTTCTCCTGTTGGCCCCAAGCCCCACAGAGCAGACCCCACATCTTGTCTCTCCTCCTCCTCCTCCTCAGAATACCAAACATTATGAGCTGTTAAACTACAGTGAGCATGGAACAACGGTGGACAATGTGCTGTATTCATGTGACTTCTCTGAGAAGACCCCGCCAACACCCCCAAGCAGTATTGTTGCCAAAGTGCAGAGTGTCATCAGTAAGTTGGAGCAGAGGCCTTTGGCCACAGAGCTAAGGCCCCAGTCACAGTGGTTTTGCCATGCTGCCTATGACCTGCAATCTTTTGCCTTCTCGGTCCCATTGGCCAAGTTCTCCTTGCTGGTGGGCCCAGGGAAGGTCACCAAGAAGCAAGTGCTGAACACCCACATGTGTATCAGACCTCTTTGGGGACTTCAGACTCCACCAGCCCTTTCAGAGTGTCCCCCAACCCCTGGTCATATAGTAGTTGGAATGGGGAGATGCAGGGGCCCAGTTCTGGCAAACAGCCTAGACAGGTCAGCTGCTGATTTTTCCTCTCCTGTGACCATACACCTTTTTCCCAGGGCGTCGCCGGCACCAGAAACAAGATGAAGAGCCAAGTGAGGAGGCAGCCATGATGAGTTCCCAGGCCCAGGGGTCCCAGCGGAGACCCTGCAATTGCAAAGCCAGCAGCTCAAGCTTGATTGGGGGCAGTGGGGCCGGCTGGGAGGGTACGGCCTTACTACACCATGGCAGCTACATCAAGCTGGGCTGCCTGCAGTTTGTCTTCAGCATCACTGAGTTTGCGACCAAACAGCCCAAAGGCGATGCCAGTCTGCTGCAGGATGGGGTACTGGCTGAGAAGCTGTCTCTCAAGCCCCACCAGGGCCCTGTGCTGCGTTCCAACTCCGTTCCCTAGGGCTGGTGGCTACCCTGCTGCCTACCTAGACACTCTCCCCAAGACTCCTGCAATGCAAAAATGTACACAAACCAAGCCTGGGTGTTTTCTATACCAGAAACCCTTCAACTACAATCTTTGCATGAAATGAAGAAAACCTTTTGACTTTTTTAAAATTCCTTTTTCTTTTCTCAAGTTTTAGGGGGCATTTGCACATATATTTGTACTCAACATTTCATGGGAAAGCGGCAGACCCGAGCTGAGGAACAGCGTGGGCAGGGAGGGAAGACTGTGGTCTGGACACTTCCTCCAACACAAGCCCTTCCCCCCACCTCCTGCTCCCTCCCCTTCTCTCACCCTCCAATGTAAAATAATCAGAAACTTGTTCTATTTTGTGGCAGTGACAATAGTTTTATATTAAAAGAAAAAAATACAGTTTTCATACAGCAAAATCTATACAATATCATTGTTTTATTTAATATAAAAATCGCTACCCACCCTCCTTCCATATTTCCCATCTTCCAAGTTATTTTACCTTTCTGCAGCAGTTGCACTACAGGTAGCTACTGTGTATTATGGACAAATGAAAAATGAATTCTTTTTTCCGGCTGTCCATCTATTTTATTTCAAATAAGGAAGTGTATTTGGATTTTGTGTAAATACATCTAGTGACATTTTTTCAATGTTTTTTAAAACTGTGTACAGTACTACATGTGGTAGAGCGTTTTCTCAAGTTGTCTATTGTAGCAAAAGCGTTTTTGTCGTAAACCTGTTCTGTCTCCTTTTTTTGTTCTCTTGCCACTTCTCTTCCTCCCAATCCTGGCTCCCTCCTCTCCTTCCACCCCCACAACTAGTACCAATGTACATAGTAAATGTAATGTTTTAGACTTTACAGAAACTTTCCTGTATTCTGTATATAAAAAAGAAAAATACTTCAAATTATGTTTTCTGCCTGTCTGTCCTACCTGTCATCACCCTTAGAGGGAATCTTGCCGGAGATCTGGGTCCCAACAGTTGGGGTATATTTTGAACAGGTCTCGTTCCCAGCGACTTAGCCTCCAAGGGAAGCTTGGGAGAGTACGGAGGTATTAGAATGACCCTAAACTGGGTGGAGGACAGTGGGGCAGTAGGGGTGCATCTGCTATGTGAGTGCTGTTTCTCTGGAGAGCCCTAATAAGAATCTGGTCTCCAGACCTAGCTGTGCCACTTCTAGTTAATGTGACTCGCAATCATTACTTCTCCACTACTGGTGTTCCCATCAGAAAATGAGTATACCTTAATTGTAAAGCTGTGGGGACTCTGGTTAAACCAAATTCCTTTCCTTCTCCAGACCTTAGTGAGAGGCTTTCTCCCTAGAGAGCACCTCTTTGCTGTGTTCCAGCACTATTGGAGTAGGTGGTATCTATTTAAAAGTCCTATCAGGACTTTTCCTTGTGATCTGAGAATGAATACTGCCTCCAAAGCCTCCTCCCACAGCATTTATGCCTAATTATACCCCCAGTCCACTTTGCAGCTAAATAGGAAACCTACCCTACATTCAGGTTTTCCTGGCTCCCATCTAGCCATCTAGTTTTGTCTCAGCCACTCTACTCCCCCTGCCTGATGAGCTTGAACTCCCTATGGACAGAAGGTTTATTGTGCTGCATAGTGTTAACTAGGGTATCCATACTGCTTGGCACACCATAAGTGCCAAACATGCAAATCATACTTGGTGGCTTTCTCAAGTTCCTGCCATATCACCAGGCCAAGAGTGCCCTTAACCATGCCTCTCTAGCTGTCCTTGCCCACCAAGCTGCCATAATCACTTCGGTTGAGCAATGGAGCATCTTTACTTATTTCTGCCACCTATGAAAAACATTCCAGAAATATATTTCCTCTTGATGTGCAGTAACAGATTTTACTATCTTCTGGCTTCCCTTCAGAAGGAGGGGGGAGGTGCATAGTGGTGCACCCCTATTATCCCAGCACTCAAGAGGATTGATTGAAGGTTCAAGGCCAGCCTGGGCTACTTAGTGAGCCCCTATCTCAAAAATACGAAAGAAGAAAGAAACAGGAAAGGTAGGGTGGAGTGGGATCAGGGACATAGAGGGGAAATGGTTGAGTGAGTCCTGACGACCCTAACCACCAGTGCCACCTTGTTCTCTCGCCTCTCTAGCCTTGAATAGGGAAGAATCCTAGAAGCTGAGGGCCGGATTATGTGAAGATGAGAACTTGAAGGGTTGGTTTACTGAGGGAAAGGAGTCTAGGACTGGGCTCTCCAGAGACTCAGCCCATTCATGGCACGCGACTCCAGAAGGGAAGGACTCCGCTGCATATTCACACCTAGAGTAAACAGAAATGTTCATTCAAGCATAAGCGTTGGCAGAGAGACAGATGCATGTGCAGCCTGGAGGCACAGACACCTACGTGGTTTACAACTCACCCTGAAGGGCGATCCTAAGACCCGTGGGCACATGCACGGAGATCCATGTGCATACCTGGCAGGCACATGAACACACACCTAGAGGGCGCTCCCGCGATTCAAAGCACACCCATACTTCGAAGGTGTGCTCACGGCACGCCGCCAGCGGACGCAGACACACGCCTAGAGGGCGCTCGTGGGACCCACGCGCGCGCACACGCGGGACCCACGCGCGCGCACACGCACACGCACACACACCCCTGTCCAGCCTTCCGCCCGCGTCCGCCCCCGGTGCTGGGCGGGGCGGCGGCGGCTGCGCGGCTACCCGGGGCGGCGGCGGCTGCGCGGCTACCCAGGGCGGCAAGGCCCGGGCGGGAACCCGGAAAGCTGTAGGCAGGCATGGAGGCCCTGCTGCTGGGCGCGGGGCTGCTGCTGGGCGCTTACGTGCTGGTCTACTACAACCTAGTGAAGGCTCCGCCATGCGGAGGCATCGGCAGCCTGAGGGGCCGCACGGCCGTGGTCACGGGTAAGTGCACGGGTGTGGGCGGGCGGCCGGGCGGCGGCCCGCGGCCCGTCCGGCTCACCTGGCCCCTACTCGCCGCCCTCAGGCGCCAACAGCGGCATCGGGAAGATGACGGCCCTGGAACTGGCGCGCCGGGGAGCTCGCGTGGTGCTGGCTTGCCGCAGCCGGGAACGCGGAGAGGCTGCCGCCTTCGACCTCCGCCAGGTGAGGGAAAGAGGGGACAGGTGGGACGGTGAGCCGAGGACACATCGCGATAAAGAGGGGCGAGCGAAACGGCGCGGGAGATCCAGTTCCTGAGAGGAGACAGCCCCTTGGTTCGTTAAGCACAGCAGAGGGGCACAGAGTACTTCGGACAGACACGAAAGGAGCTCCAGAACCAAGTTGGGGAGGAGGCTTCCTTAAGGAAGGATTCTTATCCCAGACGTTTAAGGATCTGTAGGAGTTAGATTAATGAAGAGCAGCAGGAAAAGGGAACAGCAGAGAGAACAGACAGCGTGTGTAAAGACCCCGAGGCAAGAGAGTCTGATTTGAGAAGCTGGTGGGGGAAGATTTAATGAAACTGAAGTACAATTTAGAGGGGCAAATTGTAGGATCCCTGAGCCAGGGCCAGGTTTTGGAAGCCCTAATAGACCCTCATTGAGGAGCTTGGACAGCAGAACTCAGGGAAGCAGGCTAGCCTTTGGAATGCACTCTTTATTGCTCTATGGTCCCTGGACTGGCGGAGGTAAGAGTGGGTGAGAGGAGACCAATAAAAACTCTGTTACAGTAGGTTGTGGTGACACCTGTAATCCCAGCACTGGGGAGGCTGAAGCAGGAGGATGGTGAGTTGGAGGCCAGCTTGGGTTACATTGGAAGACTGTCAAAAAAAAAAAAAGTGGAAGATTTTAGGGTAAGTGATAGTGGAGGGAGGGGATAATAGTAATAGCAAATACTACACAGTGCTGACTGGTATTTTACATATATTAACTCAATTCTCACAATAACTCTGTAAGATAGGTCACACTCTAATAAGAAAAATCAGAATTTAAATCCACATACATTCCATTACATTCTAGTGCATAGGGGCAGATTTTAGTTATAGTAGAAGGTAGACTCTTAGAATTAGGCGCCTGGGGAGAGGGAAGAGGAGGGAGGTGCCTGGTGACAATCCCAGCCCTTGCCGCTCCACAGGAGAGTGGGAACAATGAGGTCATCTTCATGGCCTTGGACTTGGCCAGTCTGGCCTCGGTGCGGGCCTTTGCCACTGCCTTCCTGAGCTCTGAGCCACGGCTGGACATCCTCATCCATAATGCTGGTGAGGGGCAGAAGGCCCTGCAGGGGGGTGGTGGGTGGCCAGGAGCAGTTGCCCCCTCCATTTGGGCCCTGCCAGGGGCCAGTAGACACATGGGAAGGATGCCCCATACTCCCATCGCACACATGGGGATGCTGAGGGCTGTGGGGCAGCTCACATCTAGCTCCTGCCCCAGGGATCAGTTCCTGTGGCCGGACCCGTGAGGCCTTTAACCTACTGTTGCGGGTGAACCACGTCAGCCCCTTCCTGCTAACACACCTGCTGCTGCCCCACCTGCGGATGTGTGCTCCTAGCCGTGTGGTGGTGGTGTCCTCAGCCGCCCATCGACGTGGACACCTTGACTTCACACGCCTGAACCACCCAGTGATTGGTTGGCGACAGGAGCTGCGGGCATATGCTGACAGTAAGCTGGCCAACGTACTGTTTGCCCGGGAGCTTGCCACCCAGCTTGAGGGCACTGGTATTACCTGCTATGCAGCCCACCCAGGTAAGGCCTGACTCTTTGGCTGCTCCTTATTCCTCCTCTCCCATCCTTACCTCAACCTGTGCTCCCCCAGCCTCCCAATGAATCACAGGATCTCAGAGCAGGAAGAGTCATGGTCCAAGGAGATACCTGTTCCCTGCTGATCTTGGAACCTGGCTCTTTTTGTCTGAGTTCTTCCTCTCACACCACAAGCTTGGTATGACCACTGGATAGGGTATAGCAAGAATAAGACCCAGGTTTTACTCCACCAAGTCATCTATACTGACTAAGCTGGCTATAATAGTATGATGATGGGGGTCAGGGATGGAGCTCAGTGGTAGAATGCTTGCCTAGCATGGGTGAGACCCTGGCTTTGATCCCCAGCACTGCAAAAACAAAATGTTATGATGGTGATGATGGTAGCTAATAATTATGCATTCAGTTATTCATTGCTGAGTACCTACAACATGTTAGCCTTAGTCATGGCACTGGGGATATAATGGTGAACAGAACAAAGACCTCGGACTGAAGTGCATAACTCAGTGGTACAGCACATGCTTAGCCTACAGGAGGCCTTGAGTTTAATCCCAGCACCCAAAAACAAAGAAAAAAAAACCAAAGATCTTACCCTAGAGTTGTATTCTAATTTGGGGCAAGGGGAGACAGCCAATGAATATATACAGTGGTATAAAGTAATGGGGAAAGATAAAACAGTAAAAGAATATGGAGTGCTGCCAGGATGTGCTATTTTATCAGTGGGAGTCAAGGAAGACATCTGAAAAGGTGACAGTTGAGCATAGTCTTAAAGGAGATGAGGAATGAACCATGTATCTTTCTGGAGTAGAGCTCAGAAAACAGCAAATAGCAAGTACAAAGGCCCATAGACAAGTTTCTGGTGTACTTGAGGCTCATGTGTCTAGAACAGAGTAAGCAGGTAAGTGACGAGATGAGGTAGGAGAGCCAGGCAAGGTCGGGCAGGATTTGGAGGTACACTGTAAATGTTTTGGCTTTCACTCTAAGTGGGATAATTGGTGGACAGACTCAAGGATAGGTTGCACCAGGAGAACAAGATCTGCTCTTCCATCTATTATCATACTGTGTTTTTAGAAAATCATTGCCTAAGGCTCATTAGTAGTTATAAAGATAATAATAACCACAACTAACCCTTATTAAGCTTTTATAACAACTCCAGATCTCTAATACCTAAAGCAGTGGTTCATGTACCACAGGTGCTTAATAAATGCTGGCTAACCAAAGGAATGGGGCTCAAGCTAGAAGAAAAGATAGAGACTGAGAGACAGGGGGCACAGCATGACCACAATCTAGGAGATGGGAATTCCCCGATTTGTTTTTGGTTTTTGTTTTGGTGGAGCTGGGGTTTGAACTCAGGGCCTCACACTTGCTAGGCAGGTGCTCTATCACTTGAGCCACACCTCCAGCCTCACCAGTGATTTGGATGGAGGGGAAGAAGAGGCTTCCTGTAGGAAATGAGTGAAGTCACCTTGTAGGGGCCTGAATACTTGGTTCCCTAGAACCAGATTCTGCCCTCATACTCTTCCAGCTCTATTCCTGCTACTTACACTCTGGGCCCTCACCCACTATCCTTCCCCAATTTTTTCTTGCTCACAGGGCCTGTGAATTCAGAGCTGTTCCTACGCCACGTTCCTGGATGGCTGTGCCCCTTTTTGCGCCCACTGGCTTGGCTAGTGCTCCGGACACCTGGAGGGGGTGCCCAGACACCCCTGTACTGTGCTCTACAGGAAGGCATTGAGCCCCTTAGTGGCAGATATTTTGCCAACTGCCATGTGGAGGAAGTGCCCCCAGCTGCCCGAGATGACCAATCAGCCCACAGGCTATGGGAGGCCAGCAAGAGGCTGGCAGGCCTTGAGCCTGTGGAGGATGACAACCCTGATGAAGAGATCCAGCCTGAGGATCCAGGGGCCCCATCTTTGAGCACCTCCCTTCCTGAAGAGCCCATAGTTTCTGAATTTTCCCCTGGCAAGCAGAGGTCACAAGACTTTTCTAAGTTGACACAACGAATTCAGGTTAAAGCTGAGCCTGAGCCCCAAGGCTCCTAACTCCCAGGCCAGGATACTTTCTGTAGTACTTCCTGACCCCGGAAAACCTTAGCTGTGTGGCAGGGCACCCAGGAGTTGCCATTTTTACCTCCGTGATTACTTTCTGGGGCCTCTAGGTATGTCCTGGGGAGCTCTTTTCCTGGTGGAAGGAAATAATGGATAACTACTTCTTCCTAAGAGAGATAGTAACCCCAAATTCAGGGGTGGAGGGTAATGAATCTGACACTGTGTTTCTCAGGAATTTGAGTTTCAGATCTCCAGCCCTATCCTGGATGATTCTGATCAGCTCTGGGGCAGGGTCAGAGAATTTGTGATTTGATGCACTGCCAACGTTGAGCATTACTGAACTGAGCCCTTTGCAACCATCTAGCTAGGTAGTTATTCCCATTTCGCAGAGGTGGGTTTAGAGTCTGGAGGGAAGGACTCAGCTATAAGAAGACCAAGGTCTGGGATTTGAACCTGGGGAGGAGTCTGACACCAGGACCCGCTGCTGTAAGTTGAGTGTCGGAAGGTCAGGCAGCGTAGGGCAGTTGTTGCGGAGGTGCCCCCCCGAGGAAGCAGGGAGATGCCTTCCGGGGTGCTGTAGGGCTAGCCACTGCCTAAGTCCCCCGGTAATAAAGCAAGTTGACTGTCGACCAGCGCGCTGGCTCCTGCCTCTCTCAACATGCCGGCCCCGCCCTCCGCCGCCACACTTCCGGCGGGGCTGCGACCACAGAGGGGCGCGGGCGGGCGGCGCCGCTGGGGGTGGCGAGATAGGCTGGGCGCGGCCGACGCTGCGGACCCGCTGCTGCTGCCCAGGTCCGTGCGGCCGAGGGCCTTCCGTCCCGTCGGCGCCATGGGCAATTGCCACACGGTGGGGCCCAACGAGGCGCTGGTGGTTTCAGGTGAGGGGGAGGCGAGGTAGGTGGGTGCTGGGGAGACAGAGAAGGGCTCCGAGGGTGGGGGGCCGAGGTCGGGCGCCTGGTGCTGGGCCTGAGTGCCCCGCGTGCACACGGCGCTGTCTCCCCCCAGTCGCACCTGAGACCCCTTCCTGAAGAGACTTCCGTATTCCCGGGCTCCGTGCCCGCGGGCACCCACCAGGGACTCCCCCTCCCACAATGTCCTCCTGTATTTATTTATTGCTTCCTTTCTCCGCCTCCTCCCTAGGCAGGCCTCCCCTCCGCTCCACCGAGAGGGGACCAGTGGTTCCCGGAACACAGCAGTTTGGCTGGATTCTAGCTCTCGGAACTGGGATGGGGCGCGTAGTTCTGGAGGGCAGGTGCCTGTGTGGGGACGGGCTCTGAGACGCCGGTCCTTTCTTGGGGCGTAGTCAGACCCGTTAATTCCAAACAGGCTGCGGCTTGCTGGGTGTTACAGGCATTACCCGCCCTGGAAACGCGGGTGCGGCCTCCACAGGTTGGGAAACCCCGCTCTGGATTGCAGAAATGCTGCAAGCTCCAAAATTTCTGTCTAGGTGGGGTTCGGGAACTGCAGCATTGGGGGTGGGGGGAGTGTATCTTGTCCTAAGGCTGCAGTTTTACACTGTGTTAGGTAACTAAAGCCTTTCGAGCCATCGGGTGGTTCAGCTTCTGTCCCGGGTGCCGGGGAGGGGCCTGTTGCTACCGTCTTACTTCGCATCATTAGTGCTGATGGTAGGGCTGGCTACCAAGGAGGGTAGAAGCCTTGAGCTAGAGCTTAAAGCTGCCCGTCTTTTGAGAGGTGTGAAAAATGAAAAAAAAAAATTCACCCCAAAACATAGTCTTAAGCTTAATTTGGATCTCAAAATCATGATGTCTACTGAGGCATCCCCACCCTCTCCTCAGGACCAGAACCCTGCTCCTGTGGAGGACATAAGATACTTGCCTCACTCCCAAGACCAGAGATAGCCTTGGGGACAGGAGGGAGACCCTAAAGAGCATAGAGGCCAACTTATTCCTCTGTAAGACTGGGGCTTGTCTCCCAGTCCCTACCCCTAGAACAGGCTTTTAGGAATGAATTTTTTTTTTTTTTGACAAGAGTCTCTCAAAAAAGGCTGGCCTGGATCTTGCAATCCTATCTCAACTTCAGCGCTAGGATTACAAGCATGAGCCACCACACCTGGCTGCACTTTGTTTTTCTTGTGGAGTTTATTTCAGGAAGCCAGACTCTGGGCTGAAGAGACAAGAGCCTCAGTTCTGTCCTTGTAGAAACTCTTGTGATTACAGAATGAGAGGAGCCTCTGAGATGGGCTGCTCTGTCACCTTCCACTTACTGGGGACTTGGTCCTCAGGTCAGATCCAAAGCATTGCTGGCTTGGAAGCTGTTTCAGGGGTGGGGAGAGGAAGCCAAGTGAAGCATCAAGGGTGCTGGAATCAAAGAAGGGTAGAGTGGGATAATGGCTAGCATAATAGTATCTTGGGATTTGAGACAATCAAGTTGAAGTGCATCTCTTTCCAGAGGGTGACTTTCCAGGAGAGCAGAGCAGAGCAGGGCAGCTACTCACGGCCCTGCCCCACTGGCCTACCATGCCCCTCAGACGTGCCTTTCAGTCCAAAGGCATCTCACTCAGCCCAATTTCAAGAGTATGCCGATAAATCCTGTGGTCATCTTTTCTTACTGTCTGATCTCCCTCCATTATATAACATAAAACTGTTTTCTCTCTTTCTACTTTTGAAATTTTTAAAGGAGAGGCTGGGGGTGTAGCTCAGTGGTAGAATACTTGCCTAACATGTGCAAGCCCCTGGGTTGGACCCAGCTCTACAAAAGCAAATTTTATTCTCACTAATAACTGAAATTGTCTCCTATGATTATGAATATCAGACGCAGGCCAGGATAGTATTAGCAGATATTTTCCCCCACGGTGTAGTTGTTGCAGGTACCTTGAAAAATCATTGACACTCATCTCTACTTTGAAATTAATACAGTAATCCAAGTACTCAAGAAGCAAAGATCAGGAGGATTGTGGTTTGAAACCAGCCTAGGCAAATGGTTTGAGAGACCCTATCTCAAAAATACCCATCACATGGGGTCTCATAAACTTTTTTTGTCCAAGCTGACCTTAAACCATGATCCTCCTGATCTCAGCTGCATAGCTTGGAAGGAGAGGCCCATACCACTATGTCCAGCTATCGGTTGAGATTAGGTCTCTTGAACTTTTGCCCAGGCTGGTCTTGAGCTGTGATCTTACCATTCTCAGCCTTCCAAGTAACTGGGATTGCAGGCATGAGCCACCAGTGCCTGGCTCATAGTTTTCAAATACTGGTCAAGCTCTGCATGGATTTAATTTATCAGTAACAAGTGCTGACACAGTACAACAGAAGGCAGTTTCCAGGAACCAATAGCATCTCAACCTGAGGACCACTGAGAAGCATAGAAGGCTGTGGTTATCTCCATGTGCTTTCTGGAAAGACTGCATAGTGCACAAAACTCCAACATGAGCTTCTTTTAAAATGCAGTCCTCGTGACTTTAGTGCAACAGTTCTTCTCATTCCTTTTATCTGGAAAGATAACTGAAAGTCCACCCTTGATTCAGGGTTCCTTAGCTGACAACTTCAGCTGTCAGCTTTATTCTATACAACGCTATCTCATATAGTAGTCACTAACCACACGTGACTACTGAGGAAGTGAAAATACAAATTTGCACAATTTTGATTGCTGCTCTGCTGACCATTGCTTACAGGTAACATGTCTAAACAATGACAGCTCTGATCCAAGCAAACTACTTTTACCAATGAGATATAAGAGGCACTGGAACATAGCTAGTGAGCAAGATGGCAAAGGGTAAAGTGGTATGAAATGACCACTTACACAGTAAATGAAATTTCATTTTATGTGATTTTAATTAAGTTAAAATTAAAAATGGATATTGATTCAATAATTGAAAAACCTCAAGTATTTTTGGAACAACTTCAGTATGTGAACCTTTCTCACCTATAAAATTTATGAAATCAAAACACAGATCAAATTCTAGGTGTAGTGACATAGGGCTATAATTCTAGCATTTGGGAAGCCGAGGCAGGAGGATCATGAGTTTGAGGTCAGCCTGGGCTGCACAGTGAGTTCAAGGCCAGCCTCAGTTACTAACAAGACCCTGTCTCAAAAACACGAAAAAGAAACAGATAAAGCCAGATACGATGGCTTAGTCCTAGCTACTGAGGATTTGGAGGTAGGAGGACAGCTTGAGTATAGGAGTTTACAACCACCTTGAGCAAAATAGTGAGACCACTATCAAAACAAACAAACAAACAAACAAAACCCCCAGAATCAAAATAAAAAAAAAAAAAAAAAAAAATACCCATCACAAAAAAGGGCTGGCGAGTGGCTCAAGGTGAAGGCCCTGAGTCAAAAAAAAAAAAAAGATAATAATTAGATCTACCACTAGATCTTATTTAATGTATTAATAAAGAGGTACATATTCTTGAATCACGCATTTGATTGTGTTAGCATTTTGTCAGTGTTCAATATAATTTTTTCTTATGTAATTTTTTTTGTGTGTGTGTGCAGAACTAAGGTTTGAACTCAGGGCTTTGTGGGAATGAGACTCACACTAAATTCATTTGTTTCATATACATCTTATATACATAGCCTAAAGGTAATTACATACATTATTTTAGTGTGCCTGTGTTTTGACTGCAGCCTGTCACATGATGTTAGGTGTGGAATTTTCCATTTGTGGCATACATTTGGAGCTCCAAAAGTTGATTTTGAGCTGGGCTTGGTGGTTCATACCTGTAATTCCAGCATTCAGGAGACTGATGTAGGAGGATAATGAATTTTGAGGCTAGCCTGGAGTACATAGCAAGATCCTGTCTCAAAAAACAAACAAAATACATAAATTCTCCTGGGTGCCAGTAGCTCATACCTGTAATCTTAACTATTTGGGAGGCAGAGATCAGGAGGATCGAGGTTCGAAGGCAGCCTGGGAAAATAGTTCAAAAGACCCTATCTTGAAAATACCCAACACTGAAAAGAGCTGATAAGGTGGCTCAGGTCATAGAGCGCCAGCCTAGCAAGCATGAGGCCAAGTTCAAACCCCCTCTTACCACCAAAAAGAAAAAAAAAAATTCAACTTTGGAGTATTTCAGATTTTGGATTTTCAGGTTAGGGATGTTCAACAGATGCTAGAGCTGGGAACAGGTTATAAGGGGAACATGGCTCAAGTAGTAGAGCACTGCCTAGCAATTGGGAGACCCTGGGTTCAATCCCCTGTACTGCAAAAAGGAAAAAAATGCACCAATGCTTTGTACACTGTGACAAACCCAGCAAACGGGATTGGCTGCCCCATGAGCAGTCTCAGATGCCCAGACACCTGTTTTCCAACCTTTCAAGCCCACCCCACTTAAAAGTGACAGGAAGCTGGGCACCGGTGGCTCTCCCTGTAATCCTAGCTACTTCCGAGGCAGAGATGAGGAGGCTCAAGGTTCAAAGACAACCTGGGCAAATAGTTTGTGAGACCCCCATCTTGAAAAACCCATCACAAAAAAGGGCTAGTGGAGTTGCTCAAGGTATAGGCCCTGAATTCAAGCCCCAGTACCACCAAAAAAAAAAAAAAAAGTGACAGGGGTATGGAAAGTCTTTGTTCCTTTTCCTTCATCCATCCAAAGCTTGTCCCCAGTTTGATGCTGTCACCATTGTTCACTAATTTTCATTTTCATGAAAGCTTCAGATATTTGCCATGGATCTGGGTAGTTTTCTGTAGCTGGATTATAGGGTCTCTGAGGACTCATGGCAGGGGACAAGGTGAGTAGAAGGGCAGAGGGTGGGTCATGGAGCTGTGCTCATGAGTCTCTTGTTTGGTTTTTGGCCTTACTATACCTAAACCTGGACTCCAGTGTTGTAACATGTGAAACTCAACAGCCACACATGACTAGTAGCTCAACACAGATGTAGAACATTTCCACCATTCAGTACAGAAAGTGTTCTTGGGCAAGATTGCTTCAGAAGTTATCCCCCTATAGCAGCCACCAGTCAAAACACCTGGGTTACACTGCAGGAGACATCTACCCAGTCTCCTGACCTCAGAGTCTTCCTCCTTGTGCAAAGTGATATTGTTTCTAAAATGCCATTGTCACCTCCCAGCTTAAGTCCCCTCATGTCTTCCCATCACATGCTTAGCTCCTTAGCCGTCATAGAAGACTGTCCATAATCTGGCTTCGGTCCCTCTTCCTGCCTTGTCCACTGCCATGAGTCCTCAAAAACAGTATAACCCTGCCGAGCACCGGTGGCTCACACCTATAATCCTAGCTACTCAGGAGGTAGAGATCTGGAGGATCACGGTTTGAAGCCCGCTGGGCAAATAGTTCATGAGATCCTATCTCAAAAAAAAAAACATTGCAAAAAAAGGCTGGTGGAGTGGCTTAAGGTGTAGATCCTAAGTTCAAACCCCAATAACGGGAAAAAAAAAAATGTATAACCCAGCATTAGAAAATTACCTAGACCCTTAGCCTTGGAAAGCAAACATCTTGAAGCTTTCATAAAACCCAAAGTTTTTTCCCCTCAAATTTTATTTCTTTCAATTCATCTGTTTCCTGTACATTCCTTTTCACTCCAAGTCAACTCCCTCCCCAGTTTTTACTAAAGCATCCTGGAACTTGATGAGTAATTTGTTATTAACAGAGGAGTACACAACAAGAACTTCAGGAATTGATTAGTCTTATTTCTGGGTGAAGAATGTGCTGAGCATGTCCATAGCCTGGATCTGGGTTATGGCTGAATTAGCTGTTTAACTGATACACAGTTTCCAGGAACCATTTCCTTTTGAAGCCTTTTCTCTTTCTCCTCACTTCTGTTAGTACCACAAGTGGATCTTAGTTTTAAGTTCTTCCTTCCCCACCTGCTTCCACAAGGTGAGCAAAGACACTCTGAGAGTAAAGTGGCAGCCTCACTGAGATGTGTCTGCAGGCACAGTAAGGCTGTCATCTTGGCTCAAAGACTTTCCCTACTACCAGCCCCTAGTGCTGTTCCCCTGCATCTCTGTCCAGTCTACCATGATAGCAGGTAAGCTGCATGGCATTATATCCTAGGAAACACTTGGAGACTTTTCTTCCTCCTTGCCTCACCTACTGACAGATAGGAATTGTGTCTGTCTTTATATCCCTAGCACAGAAAAAAAACTGTACTTGTTTGTTGGATAAATAAATTAATAGTTGAATGAAAATGGAAGCTTTTCCATTTCTGTCCACTGACCTGTCCTCTGGAAGCACTTATATTCTGAACTATTCAGTGAATATCCTTTTTGTGCAAATTGCCTACATACCAATGTAGATTCTAAATCCCTTAAGGGTAGGGAGAATTTATCTCTCATTTATGTATAATCTCAGCACCTGGCACCCAACAGTAGCCATTGTCAAATCTCAGTACAGGTAAAGGGCCAGAGTTGCTGTTAGAGTTGGGGATAGGTAAACTCAGGAACTGACTGACCAGCAGTGGTTTGCTTTGCTCCCCAGGGGGCTGTTGTGGTTCCGACTATAAACAGTACGTGTTTGGCGGCTGGGCCTGGGCCTGGTGGTGTATCTCCGACACTCAGAGGTAAGGGCCTGGGGTCTCCAGAATCTGTCATCCTGGTGGGCAAGAGAGAGGGAGGTTTCTAGTTTCTTCCCTTCACCCTACAGGCCAAACCAGAGTATCTGCCATTCCACTTTCTATATGGTTGGAGGTGGGGTTTGACATTAAGGAACAGGTAAAATTAGCTGCCCAAGGATGCAGGAGGCACAAGTTTGTGAGCACCTCCTTATTAGGTGTTATTTTTCTACTAGAGGTCACAGAAAATTCAGGGCCACCCCCAGGCAGAAGCTCACTTTCCACAATCAAGAAGACTTGTCAGTAGTGATGTACATGTCTGTAATCTCAGCACTTGGGAGACAGAGGCAGGAGGATCATGAGTTTGAGGTCAGCCTGGGCTACATAGTGAGACACTGTCTCAAAAAAAAAAAAAGTTACTCAAAAAGTTTTAGCTGAGCCAGGTCCCAGTGGCTCATGCCTATAATCCTAGCTGCTCATGAGGCAGAGATCAGGAGGATCGAGGTTCGAAGCAAGCCCAGGCAAGTAAGTTGAGAGACCCTATCTTGAAAACACCTATCACAAAAAAGGATGGCTCAAGGTGTAGGCCCTGAGTTCAAACCCCAGTACCAAAAAAAAAAAAAAAGTTTTAATTAGGACTGGGGGCATCGCTTAAATGATGGAATATGTGCCTAGTGAAGCACTGAGTTCAACCCCTATTACAAAAGAAAGTCTTAATTATATACCATTTGGAGGGGATGTACAGAGGGAAGAAAGGACAAAGAGCTCCTATATAAACCCTTGATTGTGCAGGACCTGGGACAATTTAGGCAGGGCTAAATGGTAGAGAATGGATGTTTAGTCAGAAGTGCTCTGTGACAGCAGTGAAAGACAAGGGGTAGTGATAGAAGGAATCGGTTCTAGGGCCAGTCAAGACAGGTCTAAACCTAATAAATCTATAAAAAGAATTACTAGAGAAAACAAAAAGAAGAAAGAATTACTAACAAAAGGGAGATCGCAGCTCCTCAGATGGCTCACATCTAGCTCTCCCTGCTGGTACCTCCAGAGCTCAAGGGCAGGACCAGATGTAGCCTTTCCTGCTGCCTTACTACCCACCCAGGAGATGAGGCGTGCCAGTTACCTTTCCATCATCATCCCCTTTCTGATTATAGGAAATGGGGGAGAGGATAGGTCCTTCCAGGTCAGGACCTGGGAAACCGAGCTCTGAAGATGTGGGCATGTTAGAAGGGGTTGGGCATCCCAAAGGGAAAGCAATGAAGATTCCGGCAGAAATCCCCTCCACCTCAGCCCCCACCAGTCAGCAGGAAGAAGCCTATGTCTGAACCAAGCTGCTAGTGCTTGAGGCTTCTGGAAGACTGAGGGCACTTCTAAGGTCAGGGGATGGGAAGCATGTCACAACTTCTTAACCATATCCATTTCCCTATAACCCCCTCCACTCTCTCATCTCTCCCCTCACTTTACCCTGCCTGACCTGAGGGATCCTGAGAGACTCTTCTGGTCCAAGGCCAAAAGTATCAGAGAGTAATCAATAGTGGTCACCACCTCCACTCCAAAGTCCTAGGCACGCTTGAGCATATTAGCTGGCCTGGCAGAAGTCAAGGGAGCACTCTCCAGAGATACTGCCAGCCCACATACATGCAGTCCCTGACTTCAAGCCAAGCCCAGACAGTTTGACTTGCCGAGAGACCTCTTCTGTGCAGACATCCATTGTTAGAGCAACACTCCTGTCTCCCCATGATAGGAGGGAAAGCCTCCCTGACAGCAGGTTGAAAGTGAGAGCTGAGGGTCCTGGTACCTCATCCTAGGAAGGAGATTGTTCTCAGGTTCAGAAACCCTTCCCCAACCCCACGCCCACTTGGGAGACATCTCTATAAGCTGGGGTCTTTATTTCCCTTGGCTGGTAAGAGACTCTGAGGTCAGAGTAGAGGCTTCTAACTCAGCCTCCATATTTACCTCCCTTTTGAGGGATTGTCCACAACTATCCTGTATGTCACCCACCTGCAGTGTTAGCCATTGTTTCTCCAGGTTTAGTGAAGTGCTTCTTGCTGCACTTTGCTGCAACATCCTATACTATCCTGAGGCCCTAATGTGGGCAGCTCTCTCTCCCTTACCTGAGCAATTCTCCACCTCTGGCATCTGAGCTGCAGCCTTCTTCCCTCCCTTCTTCTTTTCCTCCCTCTCTTCCTTCCTTTCTTTTTCCTGCTTCCCTCTCCTTGGTGGATTCCTGTTTGAACTGAGTCAAGAGTCCTCTCAAACACTAGAGATGTAGCTCAGTAGTAGAGCCCTTGCCTTCCATGTGCAAAAGTTCAATCCCCAGCACTGGAAAAAAAAAGTCCTCTCAGGCCCAAGGGACTACTAGTTTTAGTGGCTCAAATGAAGGCAACCTTTGCATGTCTGCATAGCCAGAGACTACAGGCAGGCTGCCCCTCCTGGGTTGCGATGGGTGTTCCATGTAACCTACTACTCCTCTTCACCACCCCTCATCCATCTGCTTCTTCCCCTTGAGTCCCAGCCTCTATCTTCCCTTCCTTTTTCAGGGTTGATGAACCCTTCCACACTATCCACAGCCTGCCTGTGCCTGGACTACCAACCTTATACATGCACATGCATAGCTGGAGTAGGCCAGGTAACTTAGAGGCACCTTGTTTTCTTTGTATTATTTTCTCCACCTATGCCCAACTTTGGAAATTCCAAGTAAAACACTCCATTATCTTCCATTGGTCGCACTGTATTCTGGCAGGAGCATACTTTCTTGATCCCCCATCCCCACATCAGACATCTAAAGTTTTCTTTGGGCTTTTTCTGACCCTAATTTGCCTTCTTAGTGATGTGGAACCTGGAGGGTTCATGCCCCAAGCAGGATTCAGTGTTTGCTGTGGCTCTTTAATTTCCACAATGGCCACCTCCTCTCTGTTTTTAGAAACACAGGTTCTCCTGTGTTAGGAGGGTGGAACTAAGACTAAGTTTTCCAGACTCTGGCAGGAATCTCCTGGGAAAGTGAAGTGGTGGGCAACCTGAATGCCCTGTACACAGGCCTCCTAACCTTAGGTCCTAGGCCCAGGGCATTAGCAGACATCTCCTCCAGCCCAGTAGCTCCTCATTGAAAGGGGATAGAAGCTAAAGAAGAGACCTGGAAGTCTCAGACCAGCAAGGGGATGCCTGTGCTCTTCTGTAGCTCTAGACTGAGCTGGCCGAGGCAGGGGAAGGGGAACAGGTTTTGAAGTGTTGAGAGCACCCCCACCCTACCCCCATGTGTCTGGCATCAGTGCTTATCTGGTAACCACTGTGTGTGTTTGCTGTGTCCCCTCCTACCCTTCCTGTCCCTACCTCTCCCTACCCCCTGGCTGCTCCTCAGACTGTCTCTGGAGGTTATGACCATCCTGTGTCGCTGTGAGAATATTGAGACGTCGGAGGGGGTTCCGCTATTCGTAACAGGGGTTGCACAGGTAATAACCCACCTGCTTCCTCCTCTGTGTCTAACCTTTTTTTCTTCCTGCCCTGCAGGGCCTGGCAGGCAGGAGCCAGATGGACTCCCTTCCTGAGGGTGTGCCTCCCTCCCTTCTGTTCCCATCTCTGCTGCTCTGAGCAGCAGGGTGGATCCCGTAGGTCCCCAAGACTCTTGCCTTTGCCCATGGCCTATAGGTAGAAAAAGAGCAAGAGATTCTGGAATTTCTTCTCAAGTTGGCCAGTGGGTGTAATTGGATCCCAAGACTCATCACTGCACAGACATAGCTGGTGAAATTTGTTCTTGGCTAGATTGTTAAGCAACTGCAAGTGCTTTCTCTGTAATGTATAGATTCCCATCTTCATTGCTTCATTTGCCAGCTCTTTCTATTGAGCACTTTCTTGGTTTCGGCACTGGGAATGCAGCAATGAACATCCAAAAGCCCCTGCTTCCTCAGAGCCTGTTACTGGTGGAACAGCCCAGAATGGAAGAGTCCTAAACAGCATTTTTCTCCTTCCTTGGCACTGAGTTGGCCTTCAGCCTTCTCAGGCAAAAGTCCAGCACCACCACTCCCTTCTTTACCCATCTTTGCCAGTTCTAGTCAGAAAGGATACCATCCCCATCTCATCAGCCTTTATAGTCATGGAAAGGTAGGTTCAGTGCAGAGGTCTGAAAAGAGGCTTGGAGCACCTTGTATGGAATAAGTAGGGTCCTGGCCTTTCTCTACTTCCTTTAAAAGCAGCCCCAAGCCCTCCAGACCCACTACTATACTTATGATATCTTCTAATGCCCAGGTGCCTTTTAAGCTGGTGAATGTGGACTCTTGAGGAGTCAGATTATCTAGGCACATCAACCCTTTCTGGGGTTAACACTGATTGGCCATGAGCCTCCATTCTCTGTATGACTCACCTAGGCCCAATACCAAAGCATAGGCTTCAAGTCATATTCTGTGGCCAGGTAGAGGGGCTAGACAGGACTCCCATGACAAGAGGCAAGTGCAGGATCACTTCTGTGTTGGCCCAGCAGTGGGCAGATCCCCAGCATACCCACCTACTAGGCATGGGATGCCTCATTGGGCATCCAAGGTGCTGAGTAACCCAGGAAATAAGTAAGGGACCTTGGGGAACATTAAGATGGCATTCACAGATAGCCTCCATGGAGTACAGCCTGGAGTACTGCACCTGTTTGCTGTCCTAGGGGACACACACACACACACACACACACACACACACACACACACACACACAGAGCTACACTTAGGTTCTCCTGTCCCCAGTCCACCACAGCCACTTCTTTCCTACTTTCTTTTCACAATTCAAGCCAGGCTGACCTGCACGGAAGATGTGTGTGCTCACTTACCCTACTTCCCCTGGAGCTGCTTGCACCTCCCCTTCCCTCCCACTACCTTCTTTTCACATACTGCCAGCCACACACTCCTGGAGATTCCTTCTCACCTGGACCTGTTCCAGCTGGAGCAGTGAGGTATTGGACTTTTCCCACACCCCAGGCCCTGGGCCCCCAGACCCATGCCCCTGTTTTGCATTTCTTGGCAGGATTTCCCTAGAGATTATGACGTTGCAGCCCCGCTGCGAGGACGTAGAGACGGCCGAGGGGGTAGCTTTAACTGTGACGGGTGTCGCCCAGGTATAGTAACTCAGCAGCCCCACGCATGTCCATTGAGGTGTCTCATCCCCATGCTGGGGTTTGGGGGGAGGAGGAGAGGACAGCAGCCACGGGCAGTCTCTCTCCAGTGCCCCTTCCATTCCCCCAAAGAGAGGGTCATCACCAGTGGAACATGCTCGCTTGGCCCCCTTGGCCACCCAACAGGACTAACAGATACTCCTTCTCTCCCTCAGCAGCCCTCGCAGGACAGAACCAGTGCTAAGGTCTCTTGTCTCACTAACCCACCCCCATTTTTTGCAGGTATTGGACATGCCAGGCCCCAGAGTCCAGACTTCCCCTATTCCCTGGGCAGCGGGTAAAAGGGTAGCCCAGAGAGAAAGGGCCAGTGAGGCAGAGGAGCTCTGGGCTCTGGGAGTCAGAAGCTGTGGTTTATTCCCAGCTGGGAGTTTGTGAGGGGTACCCTACCCTAATCCACTCTCAGTTCACAGGACAGTGAGTTTCAATGTGTTAACAGGCTTCTAGTGAGGGATCTGGCCAAATAACTCGAGAAGCAAGGGCACCATCAGTTGTACCCCTGGGACCTGTTTCCTGCCCTGTCTAGGCTCTTTCTAAGTCTACCTGTCTGTCTGTGTTCCTATTGCTCATTCTCCTTTTCATACTCTCTCCTCTCAGCCTGTGGGCTTCCCACATGTGGGAAGGCTGCAAAGGAAGAGTTGGCTAGTAAGGGAAAAGAGGGCTCGAGGGGTAGGGAGACAAGCCCCAAACGCCTGGGTTCACTCCCAGATCAGGACCTGGGGTTGCCAGTGAAGACAAGTTCTCAGTGTAAGAATTCCTTGTGCTGCTATCTCCCTACTAGGAGCCTCCAGTCCCTTTTGCAGCTCCAGGGCCTTCAGGTCTGACAAAGGAGGGGAGGGGCACAGGTTTGGGGCCTCCATCTTCCTCCCTCCAGTCTGGCTCATGCACCTCTGTGACCCTGGCAGGTGAAGATAATGACGGAGAAGGAGCTCCTGGCTGTGGCCTGTGAGCAGTTCCTGGGCAAGAATGTGCAAGACATCAAGAATGTCGTCCTACAGACCCTAGAGGGGCATCTGCGCTCCATCCTTGGTGAGGCCCTGCCCAGTCTCTCAAAACCGGGAACAAGGACAAGTTCAGGGCTAGGCAGGGGGACTGCCCCACTGACGTTTAAGTTGAAGTGTTTTCCAGGTATTTAATTTCAAAACTTCAGGTGTGTTAAGTGTATAGCTCAGTAGTAGAGCATATGCTTAGCATGCAAGAGGCTCTGGGTTCAAGCCCCAGAACAACAACAAAACCAATCTCCAGGTAACTTGAGTAAAGGAGAGAATGTGAGGGTAGGGGTGGGGATGGGAGCAGTCTGCTCAGTCTGAACTCTGCAGAAGGAGGCTCAGTGTTAAACACTGATGAGAAGGAATCTCAGGAAAACCCAGCTCAGAATCCTTGACCCCTGTTTGCATTTGAATGCTTCCTCTCTTTCCCAGCTTACTGGGTCCCTAGGGAGCTGATCCATGATCCCTCTGCCCCCAGGGACCCTGACTGTGGAGCAGATTTATCAGGACCGAGACCAGTTTGCCAAGCTGGTGCGGGAAGTGGCAGCCCCTGATGTTGGCCGCATGGGCATCGAGATCCTCAGCTTTACCATCAAGGTGAGCTGTGATAGGAAGGCTGTACCCGCAGCATTCATCTAGAAGATGGGTACAAGGTGAAAAGGCACTTTTGTGCCCATAGCTGCTCCCTAGGATTACTTCTCCCCCTTCCCAGGATGTGTATGACAAAGTGGACTATCTAAGCTCCCTGGGCAAGACACAGACTGCAGTAGTCCAGAGAGATGCTGACATTGGTGTGGCCGAGGCTGAGCGGGACGCAGGCATCCGGGTATGTGAAGATTTCCTTTCTAGCCCTCAGGACAGGGAGCTTAAGGGTTATGGGGCTGTGGTCCCTCAGGTGATGCTCAGGACCTCTCTCCTGTTCCCAGGAAGCTGAGTGCAAGAAGGAGATGTTGGATGTGAAGTTCATGGCAGACACAAAGATTGCTGACTCCAAGCGAGCCTTTGAACTGCAAAAGTCAGCCTTCAGTGAGGAGGTCAACGTGAAGGTGAGAAGCCAGGACACTCTGGTGTGGGGCCCAGAGCTCAGGACTCAGCAGCCTCTAACATGCTGACTCTCCTATCAGACTGCCGAGGCCCAGTTGGCCTATGAACTTCAGGGTGCCCGAGAGCAGCAGAAGATCCGGCAGGAAGAGATTGAGATTGAGGTCGTGCAGCGTAAGAAGCAGATAGCTGTAGAGGCGCAGGAAATCCTGCGCACTGACAAGGAACTCATTGCCACAGTGCGCCGCCCTGCTGAGGCCGAGGCCCACCGCATTCAGCAGATTGCTGAGGGAGAAAAGTAAGAGATTCATAGGGGTGCCAGGCCAGGGTTAGTCAAAGACCTGGGGTTAGTCATGCTCCTCTGCCATCAGTGTGCTCTGTCCACTCTCCTGATCACTGCTTGGAAGCTGCTTTTCCGTTGTCTGCAACTTTAAAGCAGATTAAGTCCATCTCTCCCACAGGCCCATTGTCAGGAAAACTAAGTAAGATAAAGGAGGCTACAGCGCCTGAGATAGTATTGGCACAGGGGCCTCCTGGTTAAGTTCTGCAACTGGGAGCTGTTGTCCTCTCCCTGGCCAGGGCCAAAGGCCAGGGCACTGCCCTTCAAGTGTCTCCAACCTCTAATGGCTGATAGCCACCAAAAGAGAGGGCTGGAGGGTTTGTCAGCTTCCAGGCAAGACTTGAGAGGACTCTGCACCTACAACTGATCTGTCTGGCCTGGGGTCCTCCAGGGTGAAGCAAGTCCTCTTGGCACAAGCAGAGGCTGAGAAGATCCGCAAAATCGGGGAGGCAGAGGCAGCAGTAATTGAGGCGATGGGCAAGGCAGAGGCTGAACGGATGAAGCTCAAGGCTGAGGCCTACCAGAAATATGGGGATGCAGCCAAAATGGCCTTGGTGCTGGAGGCCCTACCCCAGGTAAGGCTACCACCCAAGTTCAAGTCTCCTTTGGCAAGTGCCAGAACTTCTCTAGGCCTAGTTATTAACAGCCACAGGTCAGAAAGCTTAAGTGAAGAGCATACTCAGCAGGGACCCTCCAACAGACCCAAGCCATCTCTGGGGCCCATGGACCTTAATTTGCACACCTTTCAAATTAAGGCCACCCAGACTGCTCTGGGTTTGAATGACTTGGAGAAGGAAGGGAGAGGTGCTGTACAGGATAAGTGGATGGAGTCAGGATGCTAACCACACTCTCCTCCCATTCCACCTCCTAGATTGCTGCCAAAATCGCTGCCCCCCTGACCAAAGTTGATGAGATTGTGGTCCTCAGTGGGGACAACAGTAAGGTGACATCAGAAGTGAACCGGCTGCTGGCAGAGCTGCCTGCCTCTGTGCACGCCCTCACTGGTGTGGACCTCTCAAAGGTGTGTATCTTCCTGGATGTGGTGGGAGTGCTTGGACAGCCCACTAGAATGGCTCAGACAGATGGGTTCAGGGCCCCACAGCCAATGCCTCATTGCATCTCCCATCTTTACAGATACCCCTGATCAAGAATGCCACCGGTGCACAGGTGTGAGGCTCTTGTAGACCCACACCCTTCCGCAGCTGCCCACCCCTCCTCCAGCACCCGTTTTAATACCACAGGAACACCACAGGGACAACAGGAACGTTACTGACTCTGGTGCCTTATTTTGTAGGGACCAGAAGTGCTGCGTGTTCAAGCCATCTCTGACTGTCTTCCCTTTCTTGTCTGTCTACACTTCCTCTTCTCTACTCCATGCCCTCACTTTCACTGCCACATTCATCTAATTTGTCTTTTCTACTCTCATCTCCCTGTGTGTCTCTTCTTCTAATTGTCTTTTTCTCTCCCCCTTTCCTGCCACCCCCTGCATACATCATGTAGTTAAAGTTGAAGATACTGTTTATTGTAATCACTGTCTGTCTCTGCGGGGTGGCCCTGCTGCTCCTCAGAATCCTGGTGCCTTGAAGTTCTTCATATATCTATCCTCCCTGTGGCCCTAGCCAGAGCCCAGCATGGGTGCAGGGGTTCTGGGTAGAACAGCCACTCTCCCCTCTCCTCGTCTGGCTTCCCAGCCCTAAGCCCTGCTCCCAGGAAGCCCACAGCCCACCCACTCCTGCCCTTCCAGGCCAGAGTATCCATGGCCTGCAGGGCCTAGGGCCATTGCCCATCACTTCATCCCTCCCCAGGCCCAGGCCTCCTCTCACATCTCTTTCTCTTCCCCACTCCAGGGGCACAGGGGCAAGGCCTCCTGTCTATAGCAGCTCCCTCAGTTTACTACTGCCTTAGGAGGCCCTGCTTGTGCTCAGGGAAGTCCCCCTCATTGGCATGTCCCTGCTAGGTGGGGTGGATCTTGGTCCCAACTCTGCTAAGCCTTTCTGGGGTCGAGGTCTAGCCCTGTTGGGGACAGGAAAATGTATAAACCCTCTTCCTGCTAGTGCTGTGCTGTCCTGGGTATGGGGCTCTTCCAGTGAGCAAGACTGTGCCAACCCTGTACAGAATCAATTGCTGTGTGACTGGCCAAACCCTATTCCCCTTATGCCATCTTTCTTCCTGGCCAGAGTGATGGGGTTCCAGCCATGGGAAGCAGTTCAGTTCTCTCTCCTTGTGCCAAAGGAGGCAGAAGAGCCCGGGGCCCAAGCATCCTAACACAGGTGCTGTGGGTATCCCATGGTCCTAGTCCCCACTCCTGGCCCTGCCCCAGCCTGTGTAGCTGTTCTGCATGTGGATGCTGCATGTCTGGTCTGGGGCTTGGATGTTGCACTGCCCCACTGCCTGTCTCCTCTGGTAAAATAAAGATCTCTTATGCCCGCCCCTTGTGTTGTATATTCTATAAGGGGAAAGACTAGAAACAAAGAACCTGGTAGGCATACACTACTACTACCTATATACCCCTTCAGTATCAAGGGGCTCCTGCTCTTCCCCACCCTAGCCACTTGGGGGCACCAGCACACTGACCTTGCCCAAGACTGGGGCAAGACAAGAATTAGCCTTGGCACTGAGGCCAGACCTAAAACTTGAAGGCTGGAGGTTGCTATACTTTGTGCCAGTCCTGAACCCTACTCAGTAATGGTGCTTGATTGTCATCAACTCATGCATTGAATACTGAAGTCAAGATGCTTTTGGATTTCAGTTCTGTTTGTCTTGCATAAGTAACTTCCTCTTCTGGGCTTCAATATTCTTGTAATTTTTTTTTTTTTTTTTTTTTTTTTTTTTTGGTGGTACTGGGGTTCAAACTCAGAGCCTACACCTGGAGCCACTCTACCACCCCTTTTTTGTGATGGGTTTTTTCAAGATAGGGTACCTGGCTCCCAGCCCCTATTTTACAAATTTATCAAATGCTTACTATGTGTCAGGTGTTAGACGCTAAGGAAACTACAGTGGACAAGACAGGTGACTAAACCAGGCACCAGTGGCTCATGCCTGTAATCCTAGCTACTCATGAGGCAGAGATCAGAAGAATCTCAGTTCAAAACTAGCCTCGGGCAAATAGTTGGAGAGATCCTATCTTGAAGAAAACCATCACTAAGCAGGGCTGGAGGAGTGGTTCAAGGTATAGACCCTGAGTTCAAGCCCCAGTACCAAAAAACAAAAATATATGGTATATTAGACAAGTTCGGAAGGGTGCTGTGATTTTAGGTGTCCTAAGACAGCCTCACTGAGAAGGTAGCAAGGGTGAAGACAAAGGAATGAGCCATGCAGACATCTGAATGAGGACCATTCCATTCATAGTGTGTAGCATGATCAAAGAATAGCAACGTCAGAATAGCAGAAGAGCCTGGCACTGGTGGCTCACACCTGTAATCCTAGCTACTCAGGAGGCAGAGATCATGAGGATCATGGTTCATATCCAGCCTGGGCAAATAGTTTGTAAGACCCTATCTCGAAAATAACCTAACACATAAAGGGCTGGTGAGTGGCTCAAGGTGTAGGACCTGAGTTCAAGCCCCAATACTGCAAAAAAAAAAAAAAAGTGATGTCATCTCACCCATCTAAAAGTATCATTTTAAGCTGGGCACTGGTGGCTCATGCCTGTAATCCTAACTGCTTAGGAGGCTGAGATTGGGAGGATCACCATTCAAGGGCAGCCTGGGCAAATAGTTTTCAAGACCCACATCTCCAAAATAACCAGTAAAATGCACTGGCAGTGTGGTTCTCAAATAATAGAGCTAAGATATGAGTTCAAACCCTGAGTTCAAGAAGTAAGTTGAGTCTTGTGAAACTCAAACCCTGAGTCTCACAAGAAATAAATAGGTACATGTAAGGGTTGGGGGCATGGCTAAAGTGGCAAATCACCTGCCTAGCAAGTTCAAACCTCATAACTCTCAAGGGGTTGGGGGAGAGACAAGTAAAACTAGAAAACTGCCATCATCCTATTAGATTTGGTAGTGGCTGTGATATTACACTATAATACAATAAAATCTTACATTGGAAGAAGTGAACAAAATGTACAAAGGCTCTCTTTTTTGTCAGTACTGGTTTTTTGGGGGGTTTTGTTTTGTGGCACTGGGGTTTGAACTCTGGGTTTACACTTTCAGGCTCTCCACCATCCCCTTTTTTGTGATGGGTTTTTTTCAAGATATGGTCTCACAAACTATTTGCCTAGGCTGGATCTGAACCGATATCCTCCTGATCTCTACCTTCTGCTGAGTAGCTAGGATTATAGGCTATAGATACGACCCACCAGGGCCTGGCAGTACTGGGGTTTTCAACTTTTTTTTTTTTTTTGCATTACTGGGGTTTGAACTCAGGGCTTCTACTAGGCAGGTGCTCTACCACTTGAGCCACTCCACCAGTCCTTTTTCTTTTTCTTTTTAATTTCTTTATTTTTTCATGGGATTGAACTCAGGACTTCACACTTGCAAAGAAGGCATTCTTCCACTTGAGCCACACTCCAATCCTATTTATTTATTTATTTAGAAACAGAGTCTTGCGTTATAGCTCAGACTGGCCTGGAACTTTTAATCCTCGCCTCAGCATCCTAAATTCAGGGATTATAGACAGTAAGCCACCAAGACTGGCTTAAGGAATCTCTATATTATTTCTTACTATTTATAAGAATAGTGTTTAACAATGGTTATTAGTTCAATGATAATGACTTCATTATATTTGTGGTAATTAAGAGCTCAGTGGTAGACAGCTTGCCTAGCATACATAAGGCCCTGGGCTGGACTGCCAGCACCACAAAATAAATATGGCTGGGGGGGGGAGGGGGCGTGGCTCAAGTGGTAGAAAGCCTGCCTAGCAAATGTGAAGCCGAGTTCAATCCCCAGTGCCACCAAAAATAAACAAAAATTAATAATTAAACAATTATCTCAACAAAAATTTGAATTAAAACACAAACTCATTAAGAGAATGTGAAGAGATTAATTCCAGTGGCTCACATCTATAATCCTAGCTACTTGGGAGGCTCAGATTGAGAGGATCAAAGTACAAGGTCCGCCTGAGCAAATAGTTCACAGGATCCTATCTCCAAAATAACCAGAGCAAAATGGACTGGAGGTATGGCTCAAGCAGTAGAACGCCTGCTTGGTCCTGAGTTCAAACCCCAGTCTCACCAAAAATAAGAGAGAATGCAAAGGCATGCCTCAAGAGTAATGAAAAAAGTTGTCTGCAATACATGTCTGAAAAAAAAAAAAAACTAGCATCCAAAATACATTTTATCAATTAATAAGGTAAAATACAGATAATCCTGGAGAAATATATAGACAAATGATGGACTCAGACACTACACAGAATGGCCAATAGATAAATGAAAATGTGGGTGGCAGATTGTATTTTCCATAGATAGTGGCAACAATATCTTCTATCCCACATGTTCCTCTTACCTTATGACTTTAATATCCTTCCAATTAGAGGTAGAGCCTGTGCCTCCTCTTTTTGTAACTGGGTGGAGCTTTGTAACTATTTAGGTCATTAAAGTATGGCAGAAGTGATAATCTTTGTGACTTTTGTTTTTTTGGCAGCATTACTCTGTGACATTCAAGGCTAAATCATGAAAGACATAGCTTCTTTTTTCACTGGAATATCTCTTTCAGTCTCAGCCATTACAGTATGACTGTTCTGAGGTCCTTGTACTGTGATGAAGTCTAAACAGACCACAAGGAAAGACAGCCACATGAAAAGAGAGAGCTACTGGGGCAGGCCCCAGCTGCTACAGCCCCCATCTGGGCTGCATCTGAATGAGACCTCAAGCCAGGATGGGCCAGCCAAACCCCTAAAGTCCAAAGCTCTGAAACTGTAAAAGAGAGTAAAAGGGCTGTTCACTGTTTAAACTTCTAAATTTAAGGGTTGAGTTTACAGCTCTGTAGTAGAGTGCTTACCTAGCATGTGCAAAGCCCTTGGTTCACTCCCCAATAAGAACAAAAAAAAAATGATAAAAGTGACAATACCAAGTGCAGATGAAGACATAGAGCAATTAAACTTTCATACAGCTGGCTGATACCTATAATCCTAGCTACTCAGGAGGCAGAGATCAGGAGAATTGCAGTTTGAAGCCAACCCCAGTAAATAGTTCAAGAGATCCTATCTATCTCAAAAAAACCCTTCATGGGCTGGCAGAGTGAGTGGCTCAAGTGGTAGAGCGCCTGCCTATAAGTTTGAGGTCCTGAGTTCAAACCCTGTTACCACCAAAAAAAAAAAAAAAATCCTTCACAAAAATGGGTTGGTGGAGTGGCTCAAGGTGTAGGCCCTGAGTTCACACCACAGTATCACAAAAAAAAAAAAAAAATTCAAACTACAGCCTGATGCCGGTGGTGGGGCATGCCTATAATCCTAGCTCCTTGGGAGGCTGAGATTGGGAGGATCATGGTTTGAGGCCAGCCCAGCCAAATAGTTTTTGAGACCCTATTTCCAAAATAACCACAGCAAAATGGACTGGAGGCATGACTTAAGCAGTATGGCACTGTTTTGTGAGTGCAAAGCCCTGAGTTCAAACTCCAGTTCCATTAAAAAAAAAAAAAATTCAGCCAGGTGCCAGTGGCTCTTGCCTGTAATCCTAGCTACTCAGGAGACAGAGAGTAGGAGGATTGAGGTTCAAAACCAGCCAGGGCAAATAGTTCTTGAGAACCTATCTCAAAAATACCCATCACAAAAAATGGGCTGGTGGAGTGCTCAAGTTGTAGGCCCTGAGTTCAAGCCCCTGTACCATAAAAAAAGAAAAATTCAAACTACGCAAAGGTTCATGAATCAGAATGAAAACATGGATTATATTCATGAAATTGAATACTAGGCAGTAATGAAAATAAATGAACTGATGCTCCATGTAACAATTTTTCTTTTATCGTTTTTTACATTTACTCACATAGTATACATTGTCTGGGCAACGTCCCCCCACTCCGTGTAACAATTTGAATGAATTTCCCAAATGTAATCTTGAGTGAAAAAAGCCAGACACAATACATTTTGTATCATTCCATTATATATAAAGTCAGAAAAGTAGGCAAAGTTAATCTTGGCATTAGAGGTCTTTTATTGATTTATTTATTTATTTTGAGATACAGGTGTTTGAACTCAGGCCTTCAAGCTTGCTAGGCCGGCATTCAACCACTTGAGCCACTCTACCAGCCCTGTTTTGGTTGGCTATTTTTCGAGATAGGGTCTCTGTAACTATTTGCCCTGGCTGGTTTCAAACCCTGATCCTCCTGATCTCTGCCTCCTGAGTAGCTAGGATTATAGACATGAGCCTCTGGTGCCTGCCTGTTTTTGCTTTTTGTTTGTTTGTTTGGTGGGACTAGGGTTTGAACTCAGGGCTTCACTCTTGCAAAGCAAGCGCTCTACCACTTGTGCCCCACCTCCTTCCCTTGATTTTG